TCAGCCTGTTCCACACAGACGGGATGGCCAGAGTGTGGAGGAGGAGCTGTTGCGTTTCTTTTTTCCATCAGTGTATATATAGCCAAGCACATACTCATGACAATCAGGGAAGCAAGCCTGGTGTTAGCTTTCCTTTGAGGTGTACTTTTAGAACTTTGGTATTTATTACTCTGTGCAAAATTAAAGTTTCATTCAAGTAAATGTAATTTGTGTGAGTGCAGCAACTTCAAATCAGCCTGTTGTTCTCTCTTCTGTCTCTCTGTGCAGTTCCTTGCGGAGCCAAGCTATGAATTCTGCGAGATGCCATTAAGCAGCTATAGCCGTGAAGAGCCATGTGACACAATAACAGTTCTTTTGGAAATAGATTAGAATTACTATTACTTCAGACGCTGAGGGGGATAAGCAGAAGAGACTTAACAACATTGGGTGCTGGTATGCTTCAAAAATGAACACCACTGGCACACTATGGCAAAACTTGGATGTGAATCTTCTTTACCAACTTGACCAACATCAGCTCTTTGTGGAGTGCACATAACATTACAAACCCCTTATAACCTTCAGCTGCTTTCCTTTATAAGAAGGCCTCCCTGGTTCTGGGATAATGGCAGATTTATTAACATCAGCATATTAAAAGCAAAAGAATGAGTCATAAAGGTTTTTCAGCATACCAGAGGAGTCAATAATTTTGTAAAGACATGCTGGTAAACTCAACTGCCATTGAGTTCATCCCTTTCTTCTCTCACTTTGACTAAGCTATTACTTATGTCATCATGGCAGCACTTGCAGTAATATGGACTGGTGGGTTTTCGTGCCAGTTTTGTCCAAGCTGGGGGACTAAACGAATGTAAGTAAAATGGCATGTGCCTTTGGTATGATGAACACAAGGGAAAATGGAAAAACAATTTTACAGGATACAGGTTTTTGATATGGTAGCATGTGAGGAATATCAGGAAAAGTCTGTCCAAGTGTTTTTGCTAAACAAGGATGTCAGTCAGTGGGAAATAAAGGAGGCTCCAATGTTCCAAGCACGTTCTACCTTCAGTGTTACAGGAAGAGACTTAAAATCTTAAGAGATGTGGATAATTAAACCGAGGTACAAATTTGATACTCCAAATAATGTCTCGGTATTATTTTGTGTTTATTTGGATTTCAGCACCCAGATAAGTAACATGGGGTAAACACGAGTCTCTTGTTTCTAGTCTTTCTCGTGTGACTTCATGGGCTAACATCTAACAAAATAAGAGAGGGGCATCTTGTTTTTTGCTTTGGCTTAATTTGGATCACAAACAATTTGGATATTTGAATTGAAGAGGAGAAGCACCTAGAACTTGATATGTGAGGAATTTTTTTAACCTGAGGAGTGATATTTCAAGACAATTTTATTTCAAGACTTTGGAAGCAATCAGCTTGACCAGGAGTTCTTCTTATATTCAAGAGATTATGGATTTTTTTTTTGTTTGAAGACCAAGGAATATCAATGTTCAGACATCGCTAAGTGTATTTTACCTTTTGTTTTATTTTTTATTGTACCTTAGTACAAAGTATTCTGAAATACTGTACATACCTTGTAACTTGTTTTTCTTACAAAAACACTCAGAATCATACTTTGAAACAGACACTGACGTAACTGTAAGTCGTGTCTTGTACTTTAAAGCACTATTGTCATTTTATATTGCTGATTTTACAATTAGAGAGTGAACATTTAAAAAGTATGTTTTTGTAGGTGAAATGTTTTAAGTTAAAACACTGAGCTGGGATCAAGGTGTGACTGGCCTATTTCTCAGGTGCACTTTAGGAATGTAATGCAAAAGGAAGGCTTGTGTGTTGAACTTTTTGTTGAGCTATACAAGGGATTTAAAATTGAAATTGAGAGAAATTGCAATAAACCTTCTGGGGAACTGAAAGCAAAAACCTGCTTTGGGGAAGTTCAAGTCCTGTACAAAACCTACATTGGGGAAAAAAAATATTTAAACATGTAAAGGCTTTTGGATATCTAGTGTAGCAATAACATGTATGATTTGTATGAGAGTGAATTGATTATCTGTGGCATGTTGTATTGTGGTTAGAGGGGGATGATAACCAGTTAAGGTTGCCATCTGGCCCTGGGTCATCTGGGTCATTTTCAAAACAGGCTGGATCCCTAAAAAGAGGCTCTGTGCCTCTGAAGTGAAACAAAATAACACCTAAAGTTGGCAGTTTCTTGATTTGACACTTGATAACTATGCAGTACTAGAGATAAAAGCAAGAACCCTTATCTTGAAGATTTTGTATTTACCCTTATTTCCTTTATTAGTGTGTGTTTCGTTTGACCACTTTTCTAAATAACCACATTCTCCAAATTCGCACAGATTGTGCAAGATGTAGCGCATCAGCTGTATGGATCAGCTGAGTGGAGGATGTGTTGGTTCACAAGCCAAATAATTTCATTCCAGTCTGTTTACAGTGGCTATCAAATGTATTCACCCTCTTGGACTTTTTAACATTTTATTGTGTGTTATGGAATCATAATGTATTTAACTGTGAGGTTTTGTTATTGATTGACAGAAAACTCTTTAATGTCAAAATGAAAACAAAATTCTACAGATCCTCCTAAATTAATTATAAATATAAAATGGAAAATAATTGATTATTAAGGATTTTGAGGCATATTTGGTAGAAATTGTCGTAGGTTTTATTGAATAAGTTTGTTGAATACTTATGCAATCATTTATTTTCTGTTTTATATTTATAATTACAGTAATTTAGGAGCATCTGTAGAACTTTGTTATCACTTTGACATTATAGTGTTTTGTGCCAATCAAAGGCAAAAAATCCATTATGATTCTATATTGTAACAGTAAAATATGAAAAAGTCCAAGGCAGTGCATACTTTGATATCCACTGTATGTTATGGTCATTTGTTTCACTTAACATAAGTCAGGGATCTCAGAACTAGGTCCTGTAGAACCAGTGTCTTCAGGTTCTTGTTCTATCCTGAGTAGACAATTAACCTATTTATTACACATGTATCATTTTAAGGCCTTCAATTAAAGTACAGTTACCTATAAAACACCTCAGAGTCTAGTTATGTAGTACAGTTGTAATTTTATGCAGTTAAATAAAGATTAATTACGTAACAGAGCCTGGGTGGAACAGAATCCTAACTCATCAAGCCCTCCATGGCCTGAACGTCATATCCCGAAGTAAGGCCTGTCTGATTTCTGTACTGATTTAAGGCAGGGCTGCAACTCTAGCTCCAGGCTTTATTGAAAGCAATTTTATTGTATATGGGGGAAAAAATGGGGCTGGTGTTTGCTTCCCTAAAATCACATGATGCCAGCAGAGATAGGCTATTTACTATACAGCTTCTGTTAATTTTTTAACATTAACACTGAACACTCCTGTATTATTATTAGGTTTTACACAGATCTATTAATAGAAATATTCATTTTCAGGATACAAGAATAATTTATGATTCAATTGATTTCATTCTGGGGGCAATTTTAAGCAATTACTAATTTTTCTAATCTTGCTCTTGCAAGACATACAGGCCATCTTTTGGTGGTCACGCCAACATTGGAGAAAGATACCATCTAGTTGTGTACAAAGAATTCTAAATATCTTGGATTGTTTTTATTTTTCACAATGGTTGTTTTCCCCAGTGTGGTATTCAGTTATTTTTTTCCTAGTGAAATGCTTTCTTATTGTGAAAACATATTTGTTCTCTAAGAAGTTATTTTAAGTTTGAAGTATATGATAAACTTGGGAACATTTGGAAATACTTTTATTTTGGGCTATTGTAATATCAAGAGCACTCCAGTTTTCTTTCTGTTTGCTCTTGCTTCCTGAATTTGTTGTTTGGGTTTTTAAAATGGAACATTTGCAAGTTTTTTTTCCTTTTGGATATCTCTCTCCCTCTTCATTTGAGAGACAGACCTATGCAAGTGCTACAGACTTGCCACTTTTACCTGCGTGGTAAGAAGGAAGAAGGACTGTTTTAACTTACAGTTGTACTTTTGTGTTTCACTCGCCTACGTGTATACTCGCCAACTGCTCTGGCCTTATACAATACTGTCATCTAGCCTGTCTTGCATGGTCGCCAATTTCCAGCAGTCCAGTGGTAGCTTAGACCAAAGACTTTTTTGACAATCTACTTTATTTTTATTGTCCTTAGAGCCCAGCAGAAAATAAGAAAATATAAAAATGTACAGAGTGAAGAATATCTAAATCAGCATCTACTGTGTAATTCAGAGCACCTTAGAATTCAGTAAAGCAAAGAAGTACAAGGTCATGATACTATCAGGAAATGGGGTGTCTGTTCATATTTAATATTTTTATAATATAATACATTTGTCTTTTATAATAGCAGTCTGAGGTTAGGGAATTTGTACAAAACACCAACAATAAACACTAAAAATATCCTAAGGGTGTGTTAAGATGCATGTGTATAAAATAATTTTTCCACACCACAGTTTAAAACCAGACAAATCTTGACGCATTACGCACCACTGCTTGAAGAATCCTGCTCACATTAAGTTAGCGATGTGAGCGGTAGCTTAGCCCGCATTTGGAGTGAGACACTCCAGAGCCCTTTACACAGGACAGTTTTGGCTGGTGCTGTGGCTCCAAATAAATTAAACACAGGAGGATATCCTTGCAGGACATACCAGTCCACCATATCTCATGGTAATCTGAAAAAGTCTCTTCCATCCTTGTATTTACAAAAATAAGAGGATACACTCAATAAAGAATTCCATAAGTATGATAAACTATGGTAACCATGACCACAAAGTCAAAATTTACTTTAAGCTTTTTTAGGTCTAAAGCATCAATGTTGGTCAGGGCAGAATGGACCAAACATACAATGTTTCATAATCTGATGGTTTAGGGTACCTATAAAACCTACTGGCCACTCTGTGACAGGACTTGGTTGTCTCTCGCTATCACAGTTCTCTGGATAAAATCATTTACCCCTGTGACTCGATATTGCACTGAGGGGAAGCTGAGAGGTACTTTTCCGTGTCTTTTTCAAATAAAAATATTTTCTTGGGTGCAATAGCCTATTAACGCTGTTTCTGTGTTTTAATCTATGTGAGTGAAAATAAATGTTAACTGTACTATTGTTACTGAAGAACTGCCACACATAAATGCTGAGTGGTGAGCTGCATCAGCATACCTTGGTAGCAAAGTAACAATTAAAGGTAAATTCCCCACAGAGATGTTTCAAGGGGTTAAGTGTTACAGCCTTGCTATAATGAGGGAGGGGGGGGTGTACGTACTTTCCCCAGGGCCCACATTTGAACATTTCTGTTCTCATTTCTACACATTAAGCTTTTTCTCACTAGGAATCAGCTTGCATAGTAGGAGTGTAAATCTCAAATTGCTGTAAGGCTAACAACTGAATTTTACATGTTTACACATTTACTGTGCAACACTACAATGAAATTAATTTTGATACAGACAATTTTCACTTTCACAATTAAGAATTGCTTTGCAATTAAGGAGATCTATACATTTAAAAACCCAAAAAACAAAAAGTTAATTCAGTCCTCATTTATGCATTGGTTCAATCATATTTGACAATAGTTTATTTACTATTAGTAAAAATAAACACATTAACACAGTTTTGCTTGAGATAAAATTATACTACTTCAAATTAAAGAGGGCAGAACAAAAACAAAGTTACTCCTGGTTATTATTTTATTTTAAATTTACATAGCTATCACAAACCCATTCGTGTTCACAGCATTAATAGTTACTACTGGATATTGAGGTGAACTGAGGATAAAAGAATATTTTTTCAATACAACAACCAGGTGACAAGGCTACTCTTGCCCTGGTGTGGTTAGTGCATTGAGTACAAGTGGTGGTGAAAAAAGTTCATCTTTGAAAATACACAGGAAAATGAATTGCACTATCGCTAGTACTAATAATAGCGCTATTAACTCACTACACCTTTCCAGCGAAGACACTTAGTGCTCTTGTCCGTATTAAAGACGTTATACCCCAGCACCTCTGGACTCCCACCCGATAAGAAGCCACACACACTCGCCTGTCAGAAAAGTGAATTGCAACATAGTGCCAACAAACAGTGAGATTTCCCAGTGCGAAACAGGGAGATGGCATATTTTAAAGAGGGCACACATTTATACATTTGGCAATTGTAACATTGTTACAGCTATGGGCAGCCTTATTGAAGGGCAGGATGATCCTCAGTTTGCTAGG